TATGTGTAAGAAACACCACAGTGAAGCCGTTGCATTCCATAGTTTTAAGCTTTGCTTTGACAGTGAACCCCAAATCAATTATACAACAAGTAGAACATATCAGGTCACTCTTTCCTACTTACCAGGGAGAATATGATCCTAATTCTAGGAGAATAATCTCCCTTTTAAGGCTTGGCGGTGGGGTGGATAAATTAAATGGAAATTCATATTTAAGCTTAAATTCTGAGATTAGTGTCATCAAATTAACAAGCCTAGTAAAAACGATGGCGAGGAGTGATTCATCTCACCAAAGAACTTTTTTTGCCTTATTTTGAGATTTCATTATTTGATTCGATTTTCACGATTTGATTTTGGAGCTGTTATATAGACTTTGTGCTTGTCAGGTTCTTGCATTCATCTCCAGATGGGGCAGCCAGGGCAATGAATTTAGGTTACAAGTCATATGCAGTCTGCACAACAAATGGAACGAATTTTAAATGGGTTGTTTTCTGGAAGAGTGATGAATTCTTTGGCTTCATTACTTATCAGTATAGGAAACAACTTTATGTTTCCTAAGACAACCATGCCTTTGTCTTGTGTCTTGCCTATTTCTTGGGTATTTCTTACTAATAAAATCACAGCAAAAAAAAAAAAAAAAAATTAACATCAGTACTTAACTTTACAATTCAATTCCATTTTTATTTTTACTTTTATGTAAATACTACATTAAATGTAAAAGATCTTTAAAAGATTGTTTTAAAGTCCATCTCCCTACTTCTACGTTTTCCTTTAAAAAAAATCCATAGTAGTACTGATAAATAGGGCTCAAGGAAATGCAAACTATGCAGAACAGAGGTTTTTTTTTTTGTTTTTTGTTTTTGTTTTTTAAGTCCAGTGAAGTCTGACAACATTTCAAAATGCCTATATAATTCCCTCAATACCTGGCTTGGCCAACTCTAATTGTTTGAAAAAGTGCTTTTTAAAAAATAATATCTTTGAAGCATGTATAAGTGTGTGTGGGATGGAAAGAATCCATATCTGAATATCTTTATAAAGTAGTTCTTAAAATTTGCAAAGCTATTTACCACTGAATATGCTGCCACTTATACAATCCCTCTCCTTTCAGCTTGAAAGAAAGCAAAGAAAATGGAAATACGGTAGCATAAAGGAAGGAAAGAGTGAAGATAATGAAGGTAGGTCAGTGAGGGACATTTTTTAATCCCTCTTCTCTTTTCCTCTAATATTTCGGGAAACTTCTCAGCAGCTCACATCTATAAGGAAAATATCCCGCTGAGAAAGGCAAAGAATCAGAAATAGAAGGATGTAGGGGGAACACAGGAAGATGTCTGGGGCAGAAATTGTTGGGGAAAGGAAGCCAAGAGAGGAAGATCTATAATTGGATAAAACCAGGCTTCTGCTATATGGGTCTTCTTTCTATAAGGTTAGAATCAAATTTGATTTATATAGAGGAGTGAAGTGATATGGGGCTAGATGAGTGAGTCCTTTTATCATTGACTAGGCTTTATTCCCTTTAAGATTTTGATGAGGAAATCTTATACAAGGTGAATTTGCTTCTTTACTTACACATCTGAGAGTCACAAGCCACAAAAGGTCAAGTTCACTTGATATGTATTAAAGGCTTTATGTGAAATGAAAAGCTACTCATTTAACTGACCCTTTTCCAATCAGCCTTACTTAGTTTAGACTCAATCTTGGGAAATTATCTGGAGGACTCACAGTCCTGATTGTCACCAGGAAGGGTTGGGGGAGTTCCATTTAAGGCTAACCCAAAGTCTCCAATTACTTCTGGTCTAAGGATGGCCTTGGGTATAGTCAGGGTGCCAGACCTATATATCCTATAAGCAAGAATTGCACTTATCCTCTTCACAGAGCAAAGTAACCCAGTCATTTGAAACAGAGCTTAAACCAGATAGTTAACTGAGCACTGAAGATGCATTTGTCAGTATCCATCTTCAAAGCAGTTCACGGCCAAGCCACAGTCACTGATGAAATAGGCCAGATTTGCCTGTGGAATGTTATCCTGAATGTTTAGCTGGCAGAGACAGGAAGATGGCAATGAAGTGCAGCAAACGCTGAACACTGACCCATAAAGGAAGGTGTGTGGCTACAGTAGTGTCATAGGAAAAGGAGAAGGTGACAGAACATGTGTAGCAGTTATACCCTTATAATAACATACATACACATTTGAGTAGGTGGAATTTGTTAATGTAAGAAAAATTAAAGGAAATTCATATAGTTTGAAATGGGCCCAAAGTATTGGAATAGAGATAAGGATACACTGAAGCAACAGTATACACAGACACACATGCTCACATGTATACATTATTTTTGAGTTTAGTTTCTACATCTTCCTCTCCTGACTCCACAGCAGCACACAGGTTAAAGGGTTCTAGTAGATTCCAGCTACAGAATTCTATGCTATTCAGAAAGTATATGGCTAGCAAAACAGCATCCCTGTTTTCTCCTACGTGGTTTATGCATTCATGACAGTGAAACCTTTAGAAGCAAATGGATGTCAGATACCAATGATAATAACAAGAAATGATACATGAGACTTTTACAAACTTGATTCTAAACCTAATTCTAACTGACTAGATGGTGGTTTTCATCACCTCCATACACACCCTCGCACATCCAAAATAGTCCAGTTCAGCTATGTCACAGAGCTAACGTAATATGTCGGGGAGATTTCACAGAAAGAAGTAGTTGGAGGCCATTACAGTCTGGGCACCATAGTCTTTGGGACTGTCTCTCCGTGAAGAAGGCCCTTCCATTGTCAGGCTTAGCTGGAAACTCTGACTCAGAGGGGAGAAGGCGAGGCATGACTAGTCAGAACCAGAGGAGAGGTTGTTGGGAAGCCATTTTCCTCTCATTGAAGTGTTTTATATGGCGTTCAAGTGGACGTCCCCATAGGGAATTTCTGTTGGTGTTTCGGGAGTGATACCTTTAATGATACGCTGTTGAGAAGAAAATATGATGTTATAAACATTCTTATAATTTAACAGTATTGCAAAAATATTTCAACCTTAGTATTGAAACATTTAAATAGCATGTTAATGGCATTTAATAGTAAGTTGGAATAGTCTCATTGACTTTCCTTAAGAAAGAAATTCCCAGGGCGCCTGGGTGGCTCAGTTGGGTTAAGTGTCTAACTCTTGATATCAGTTCAGGTCATGATCTCATGGTTCATGAGTTGAGTCCCATGTCGGGCTCTGCGCCTGACAGTGTGGAGCCTACTTGAGATTCTGTCTCACCCTTTCTGCCCCTTTCCCACTTTCTCTCTCTTCGAAATAAATAAACATTAAATTTTTTTTTAAACAAAGGAATTCCCAATTTGCTTTCAAATGTAGATAAAAATGATACATTCAGGGAGCAACTGGCTGACTCAGTCGGAAAGCATGCAACTCTTGGTCTTGGAATCTTGAGACCCATGTTGGGTATAGAGATCACATACATACATACATACATACACACATACATAAAACTTTAAAAAATGACATATTCAGGAACTATAACCGTCTGTAAGCTAAGAATATCACTGTAACACTAATGGGAGAAAATAATGAGCTTTCAATAGAACCCTCCACTGGCCTATAACATGCTTTTGATGACCTGGGTAAGGGCATCCTTTTCTCTGGACAAAGGAGGCCTGCTGTGGCCACACAGGGCCTGGGGAGCAGAGTGAGTGCTGGCCTCTGTCCCCCAGCTCCCCCACCCCTCAGCCAGGCTCCTTGTGCCCGGCATATACACCCCAGGCATGGTGCAGTGCCAGCAGTCACCGTAATGGCTGGGCTGTTACTGATTTAATGAATCTACCTGTGAAGGAGTACTGGTTAATTCATACAAGGGTACAAATTATCATAACTAAGTTGAAAAAGATGTGACCATTTAAGTCATTACTCCTAAAGCAAACTCATGTTGACATAGAACGCACCATGGGGAAAAGGTTGAGAGTCTTTAGCTTAGAAACAGCTGAAGTACACAGAAGCTTTAAGACAGATCTAAAATATGTTTGGGCTTGGGTATGAAATATACAGCCCACCTTGTAAAACTTAGCATCAAGGTGACATGAAGCAGCTCAGGGTTGTGAAGAAGGAAAAACAGCACCACTTCAGAGGCTTAGAAAAATCTTTACTGAGTGGCTTAGTAAAATTTTTGATGGCCAAAAGTCTGTATGTATAGGAAGTGGGCAAAATTGGATCTGAAAGTAGTATTTGATTTATGGATTTTAGGTGAAGCTCTGCTTCTCATCCTTTAGATTTTGGGTTGAAAAAGTATGTAGTCCCCTCTGATCTTTTTTTCTTTTTTGAAAGTAACACAATGTTACATTAGTTTCAGTCCTTCAATCTTTTTTATTCTTATTTATTTGAGAGAGAGAGAGAATGCACACAAGCAGGTGAGGGGCAGCAGAAGAGAGAAAGAATCTCAAGAAGGCTCCACATGGAGCCTGACAGGGGTGGGGAGCAAGGGGCTCCATCTCAGGACCATGGGATCATGACCTGAGCCCAAATCAAGAGTGGGGCACCTAACTGACTGAGCCAACCAGGCACCGCCCCCCCCCCCATTCAATCTTTTTATTTCCTGGTTCTGGGAGTTCTTTAAGGAGCAGGGCCTATAGAATCCAAACAGTTCTAGCTGCACCATTAATGAAATTAATAAAATTATGTATTTTGTGTTTCTAATGACCTTACCATTCAAGTACTGAAATCTCGCACTAGAAATCCCCTTAAAAAGGAGTTGCTCCAGTCCTCATCAGCTACCGGGACGTGTCAAGCCATAGAAAGTGAAGTTTCACAAACCATCCTTCCCCATAGACGAGTATGTAAATCATAACTGATTAAACAGAATTATGTCTTGGTAATTTGGAACTGGACACAGATAATTCTAACTACTCTTTAAAAAATTTTTTTAATTATTGTGAGAGAGAGAGTGCAAGTCGGGTAGAGAGAGAGGGAGGGAAAGAATCCCAAGCAGGCTCTGCACTGTCAGCACAGAACCCAACACGGGGCTCGAACTCACAAACAGTGAGATCATGACCTGAGCTGAGATTGAAGTCTGTTGTTTAACGAAGTGAGCCATCCAGGTGCCCCAATAATTCTAACTACCCTTAAGTGGAGCTATGTTGTGCAGGGAGAGAAGGTGTATGGTGTATACTAAGGTGTTTGGTAGAATGGTGGAATGAACAGCATTTTAAAGTAGAATTTTGGCTTTTGTATTCTAGTCCCTAGCCACCCATTCTGCTGCCCTTCTGGTTGCTGATATCCCAAAATGCCAGGTCCGCTTTTTGCCATATTTTGGCAGCATTCTAGTTGCTGGACTACCATTACTCTCAAAACTTGCCAGGCCCTGGTCTTTTACAAGATGATAATCTAAGAAAACGGATCACTATTGACGTCTTCATGAATGCTTACTTATTAGGGGACATCTTCCCAGGATCTTTGTGTAGTTTACTGGAGGTTTTTACAACAATGACCTAATCTAGTTGAATGACTCCAAACTTGAGACTTCCAGGATGCAGGTGCATATGCTATCCTCCAAATTCCAGGTGAACAAGTGGTAGACTTTCCACATAAAAGTCCAACTTTTGATCTGCTTAGGGCCCTAAAGAGTTAAGAAATTTACCTTTCTCTTAGTCTTTTTTTTTTTTCTTAACTATAACAAAATTGCATATGAGGCCTCCCTCCCTTATAGGTAGAATGTTATGGACCAAGGTATTTTGGTAGCATAATGAGATAATATACATGAAGACGCTTTGAAAAATACACAATCTTATACAAACTGTAAGGTTCTATGATTAAAATTAATTTTATCATTTTTTTTAAGTAGGCTCCACCCCTACGTGGGGCTTGAACTCACAACCCTGAGATCAAGTCACAACCCTGAGATCAAGAGTCAGATGCTCTACCAACTGAGCCTCCCAGGTGTCCCTAAAATTTTAGAGCACATTGTTCATTACTGTATTAATATTACTATAATGGTAAGTTGTTTTTACTCTAATGCCTTAAGCTAAAACTACTACATCCTTATTTAGTGATGATTTTCAAAATAGCACTCATCATACTGCTGTTAGAAAAATGGCCATGGACATTTTCCACCATCATCTCTACTTAAAATTCACATACTGCTTCAGACATGACAGATCTGATGTCCATGCCCAATGGCAAGCAGAAGGCAGAGGAGTTATCTGATGAGTATAGAATGCTATACACACCTCAAGCTGTGTGCTGTGGCACATGCAAATAACCAGCTCACTCTTTTGCCACTGTATCTGAGGCTTATGGGATGCCTTTTAAGGTGACAGAGGCAGCCGTCACAGGTCTACACCATGGTGTAGGTGAGCTTCATGTGGTGGACTCATCTCTTTCGAACAGAGCATAACAAGACCCTTTTCTCCCAAAAGGATTTAACTACTCTGAACACACACACTAGCACCTACCTCTTTAAATGTCCCTGGAGTGATGATCAGCCGATACGTTATATATGTGGGGATGCAGATAAAAGACGAGGTTCCTATGCAGTAACCCAGGATGATACTCCACTGAGGATAATTATATTGGAAAAGTCGTAGCTGTGGTGGGCTCATCAAAAAACTGCAAATGATGAACTAAAACAGAAATACCAAAAAACATTCAAAATCTTAACAATATCCGTGCAGACAGGGACAGTTCTGATACCATGAACACCAAATGCTAAGGCTGAGATCCTCTTGGGAAATTCCCCAGATGTGATCTATCCTGGACTGAGCTCTGACACATGGGATCCACAAATTTCTGTGCCTAAGCAGCAACAATAAAACAGGTGCTTCTATTGATTTTCCTTTCCACCCCCCACCTTAACCTTAGAGCAGGGACACCAAGCCTCAGAAAGTTGTTTCTGGGGGAATTACAGCAACCCATTCAGGGCAAAGGGGAAGAGACCAGCATCTACTAAGAGTGGTTTGGGGCCTGTCCTCCCAGATAGTGAAGACTAAACTGGATGACCTTTCCACGGCTCCTGCCAGTCCTAAGGCTTCATACTTCTCTGCTTTATTCTCTTTTCGTCCTTCATTTCTCAGCTGTGATTATTTTTGGTCAGATGGAAGTTAGCTTTGTCCAGGAGAGATACTAAGGTTCTCAAGTCCTGTAGAGGACTTGGGCTCCGGGGTACATGTTCCTACTTTTCCCTTTTCTTGAGCTCTCTGCTTTCTGCATTGAGCACCTCAGCCTGGGGTTTCAACAAGGATGGCTTGAGGCATCTGAACAGTGGGTGCCCACCTGCCCCAGGCCCTCATGACGAAAGGAATAATGGAAGGAAAAAGTAGCTTAATATACTTTTTACTTGAAAACTCAGTGAAAATTTCTCCCAAGAAAAATTCTACAGTGTGCTCCCAACACTCCATTTATAAGTTTTCTTATTTCAGTTTGGTTTCCAGAGAGAACGTAAACATCAGTTTTTGCCCAGTAACCACTGGGCCGAAATCATTATTGCTCTTGATTTAATTTTATTTTATTACTTCATAGTCATAAAGAAGACAGTAATGTAAATTATTTGTGTGGTTAAACATCTATTTGTATCTTTTTTTCTTTGTCTGCAGGTAATAAAATGGGAAGCTGTTAAACACATATCCATCTTTCCAACAGTGTTGTCCTAAGTCCAGGAGGAAGCTTTCAAAATGGGAGCCTGGCCAATTGCAAACCTTTCTCTGGACTTACTCTCCTCACCCCAGACCCAGCTACTAAGGAAGCCAGTTTTGGAACATGGAAAGATGGATTGGATGCAGTTAGGAGCCCTGATCTCATCTTGATGTCAGGTGTGTGAAATCCAGCACAGTTCAGAGGGGCCTCAAGCTCTTGGGGCAGAGCCAGTAAGTGCTGCTCCAGACACGCCTTTGCAGGGCCCTCTCTCCTTGCTCATATATAATATTTTCTCTTTTTGTAACTTGGCCTCAGTGAAAAAGAATATTTTTAGTAAGCTACTCATTGTTTACTGAAAGCAGCCTTAAAAAGCCCAGGGCAAAGGCTCTGTTAAGTAAACCCAGAAGTGGAAGACAGATTTGCCTCCTCTTAATTGGGCACTGGAGCACTTGCCTTTAGAGGAAGTGAGTAAAGCAAACATCACAGGAATTATGAGTGATGTGCCTGAACACAGATCTGTGCAGGGGTTTTGCTGGGCACAGAAACTCACTGACTGTACACCAAGTATTCACCCAGTCTGTTAGATGACCAGAGGTTCAGAGAAATTAAAAGTACTAAGAACCCAGAGCCAGGACTAGGGTGGAACATGTGAGGCACTCACCTTGGGCACAACATGTAAGTAAATTTTAGCAATCAAGAAATAATACTATGGTGCAATAGTTTAAATAGACAAGATCTGACAGGGCCAGATTAGGGTAAGGTGGGTGAGGTGAGACATGCAAGCACAGGGTCAGATCTTGTGTTTATTTAAAATGAAATCTGGGGGCGCCTGGGTGGCGCAGTCGGTTGGGCGTCCGACTTCAGCCAGGTCACGATCTCGCGGTCTGTGAGTTCGAGCCCCGCGTCAGGCTCTGGGCTGATGGCTCGGAGCCTGGAGCCTGTTTCCGATTCTGTGTCTCCCTTTCTCTCTGCCCCTTCCCCGTTCATGCTCTGTCTCTCTCTGTCCCAAAAATAAAATTAAAAAAAAAAAAAAATGAAATCTGTTGATTAGGGACTTTTTTTTTTTAATGTTTATTCATGAGAGGGAGAGAGACAGAGCATGAGCCGGGGAGGGGCAGAGAGAGGGAGACACAGAATCTGAAGCAGGTTCCAGACTCTGAGCTGTCAACACAGAGCCCAATGCAGGGCTCAAACTCACAAACCGTGAGATCATGACCTGAGCTGAAGTCAGATGCTTAACCGACTGAGCCATCCAGGTACCCCAAATGGAGACTTTTTTTGCATTAATTTTGGTTTTTTAGAAAATATTACATTAAAATGGTCTTTATCTTGATTACTGAGTTTTTCGGCACCTCCCCTGCTGAATTTTATGCCTGTGGTGAGTGCCTCACTTGCCTCTCCCAAATCTCAGCTCTGGACATCATCTCCTCACTGTGTAGGAAATACTAAAGTAAACAAACAAACAGACATGGCTTCTTCCCTCAAGGAAATAATGCAATGTCTCCAATTGCTTTGAAAAACAAATGAAAGGATTTAAGTAGATTATCTAAAAGCATTGGTAATAATATAAATTAATAATCCACTTATGTCAGAGTTTATGCTTCTAGTAATGGCAGGCTAGGTGGTTCATGCCAACACCCTCACTGAAAACAACTGAAACGTCTGACTTAAAAAAAAAAAAAAAAAAAAAAAAAATATATATATATATATATATATATATATATATATATATATATATATATGTAAGCACCAGTGAGCTGATAAGGTAATAAGGAACTACCAGGCCAAGATCTAGGGGAACATACCAGAGCCGCTGGGACCTGAGAATTATCTGCTGCCTGGGACAATAGTTGGCTTTGGTTTTAGAAAACTTCAGGGTCCAGGGGAATGGAAGTCAAGAAGGGATTCTGGGGTAGAGAGAGACACAGGCAGCATCGCAGAGGCAAGAATGAACATTCATCTTATATGTTACTGTCCAGATGTATGGGTATAAAATACCAAACAAAGGACTGCCCAGAGAAAGTCAAAAGAGAATACAAAATGGTTTTTTGTTTTGTTTTTGTTTTTAAAGACAGGAAGTAACAGCTATATGCCAAAGGCAGAGATGTCCCAGACACTCCTAACAAGCTGGAGCTGGATGGAAGGACCAGTCCAACAAACTTTCTTGGCTCTAAAAGGTTTTAAAATTTTCCTCCAAAATAAAGTTACAGATAAATGAAAGAACTGGAGAGTAATTTGTGCTGATGTGCACAGAGTCACTTTACCCCACACTACCTCAGAGCACACTGGGGATGTCAGCAGGGCGCTTATCCTCCTTTGAGCAAGTTACCTCCTTTCAGAGGGATGCCAGGAGGAAAAGCAGAGGCACGTGCTATAAGGAAGGAGTGAGTGCTGAATGCATCCTGGCAAGTAGGTAACCCTTGGAACTGAATGTTCTCACCCAGGTCCTTTAGCAACAAATGTATTCTACTTCTGACTCAGGTCCATGCTTGAGGACTTGCAGGGGTATTTTTAAGAAAATGAGCCACCTGGGTGGCTCAATGGGTTAAGCGTCTGACTTCGGCTCAGGTCCTGATCTCACAGGTTCGTGGGTTTGAGCCCCACATCAGGCTCTGTGCTGATGGCTCAGGGCCTGGAGCCTGCTTCAGGTTCTGTGTCTCCCTCTCTCTGTGTCCCTCTCCCGCTCGCATTCAGTCTCTCTCTCTCTCTCAAAAATACATAAACATTGAAAAAAAAATGAATACAAAATTACAAGGACCCCTCCCAGGACCTTCAAGAGCAGCTCAGTAAATCTTTCCCAGGTCTTGAATAGGTCTTACTTGTCATGTGACCTGGGACCCTTTAAGGCTTCAATTTCCTTAAATGTACAATGGAGCATTAGAACTATTAATACTTCGTAGAATTGCTGTAAGGATTAATAGAGCAATGGGTGTAAGTTTAGCACAAAGTCTGGCCTGGCACTTAATGTTCAATAAATGTTATTTATCATTATCACTGAGTTGGGGAATGATATAATACATGCAGCAGGGACCGAAGCCCAGACTCCTCTACAGTGTTAGAAGTCAGAAGAGGGGGCGGGGAAGTGTGGGGAGCACAGTGACTGGGAGGGGGCATCAGAGGGGCTTTTAGAGTGCTGGTTGTGTTTTTGTTAGCACAGTTTTGGCTACAAAAGTGTGCTCCATTACAAAATTTCAATGAGATGTACATTTAAGATTGGCACACTTTTCCATGTATCTGTTACACTTCAATAAAGTTTACTTTTTATAAGTGTTTGAGTGGGCCATTCTTCAGGGCCAGAAGGAGAGGGAAATGACAACTCACCAGGAGAAACAGAGGGCTGATGGCTACCCAGCAGATCTTCCAAAACCATCCAGGGCTGAAGCCAAGCATTTCTTTCACATCACTGCAGAACTGAGTGATGCCTAAAATCACCCAAAAGAAAAAGAGATTGACTGAGGGAGGACATGGGCTGTTCTGTCCCTTGATTCTCAGAGACAGTAGCAGCTCTGGAATTTCTCCACAGCAGGAGCTCAGGGGCACCCATCTAGTCTGAAAGTGGGACAGAGGACTTGTCACAAAACTGCATTTGATAGCAAGCAACTTTCTTTCTACACAGAGTGGGAGTGGGAGGATAGGTGGACATTTGGGGGGGACCTAAAACCCCCCCACTGGTGCCTCCCCGCTTGGTACCCACACTGCTTTTCTAAGATCTCAGCATATATTTGATTTTACTGTAGAAAAGGATTTTCTAGGAGAGGCGCCTGGGTGGCTCAGTTGGTTAAATATCCGACCTTGGCTCAGGTCGTGATCTCAGGTTTTGTGAGTTTGAGCCGCCCCTCATCGGGCTCTATGCTCTCAGTTCAGAGCCTGGGGCCTCCTTCAGTTTTTGTGTCTCCCTCTCTCTCTGCCCCTCCCCCACTCATGCTCTGTCTCTGTCTCTCAAAAAATGAATAAATGGTAAAAAAAAAAAAAAAAAAAATTTCTAGGAATTGTGAACCCATTTGACAGAGGCTGACATCAACCCTTTGTTGGAAACTTCCAAGAGAAAATTTTAACCACGTATTGCCCATCTCCTATGCCAGATCAAGATCAAGATTCTTCCATAAAAAGTATGTGAAAGTGAGTATTGGTAAGACATCAAGAGGGACAAGGCAGTTGCTTCCCTGAGAGACCCAGCAATACCTGGGACAGGTCTACTGCAATTCGCATACTCTGAATCACTGAGGAGGTAGGGAGGGCTTCTGTTTTAAAAACTGGGCTCGGGGCGCCTGGGTGGTGCAGCCGGTTAAGCGTCCGACTTCAGCCAGGTCACGATCTCGCGGTCTGTGAGTTCAAGCCCCGCGTCGGGCTCTGGGCTGATGGCTCAGAGCCTGGAGCCTGTTTCCGATTCTGTGTCTCCCTCTCTCTCTGCCCCTCCCCCGTTCATGCCCTGTCTCTCTCTGTCCCAAAAATAAATAAACGTTGAAAAAAAAAAATTTAAAAACTGGGCTCATATTTAAAAACTGGGCTGGAAATTTGGGGCCTCCCCTTCTTCATATTATGTGTAACAACAAACATGCCAAAGCTGTTTTGTTACCATAGAAATTAGAGGGAAAAGTCAATACATTTTCAGAATAAAATAATCATTTCTTAATTTTATAAAGATGAAGAGTGGTATCTCTGAACCTGGTTTCCTTCATGTCAACTCCTAGGTTATCCCCACCCCCACCCATGGATTCTTAGAACCCATGTTAGCCCACTCTCTGTGCTCCTGCTAGTTTCACCCTTATCAGAATCCATCCCAGGATCAGAGGGGGTGAAGTGGGGATTTCACCAAGGCAGATAATACAAACAGGAACATTCTTGCCTTTTCTCTGGAAAATAATCTCCTGAACTCTATCTCAGGGCTTTGCAGGGAGCTCTTGCTTGCAAAATTTAAACTTGGGGCTACTCTATAAAACAGTGGGATATTGTATACTCTACAAATTCACTCACTATGCACTAGTCCATTGTTCAATTCTTAGACACAATCAGTATTTGAAGCCTCCACTATGGATGAGCTATATGGAACTGCTTCAGCCTGTCTCCACTGGGTGAACATTTAAACTCAGAAGGAAAAAAAAAAACAAAACAAAAAACATCCTCCCAAGAGTAAGGGGAATCAGTGTGGAGGAAATGGTGACCTGTTTCTGAAGAAGGCACTCCACTGAGGTTATTTTACAGACCCACTGGGAGGTGATGTACCCTGCCCTGACTTTCTTCAATGAAATCAGCCCTTCTCTACTCTGGTGGCTGCAGGCTGGTGTAGATCATGAGTGTGGAAGGAAGCATCTTACCGTAAAACCAATAGACAGCAACTGCTTCTATAAGTACAACGGTGAGCACTGCAGGGCCTGTGGCATATTCCTCCAGCAGCTTTACCACGTACGCCCCTCCCTGGAAACGACATCATGATCCTGAGTGCGGGCCCTCTGAGGCACTACCTTCTCTTTATGATTAAAGCCAAAAGCAGCTTCTTAACTTAGGATAATTCTAGAAAATTCCCACCTTGGACCTAATATAAATATCCCAGAGCCTGCCTCTTGGACTGACCCTCACTGTATGGGCCAGATTTCATTCCATCAGACGCCTCTTCCTGTCCTATGGAGCACTCTCTCCTTGTTTTTTTATCTCACTAAGTTTTAAGAGACAAACTCAACAGAGTCCCTGGATTTTTTTTTCAACTTTCTTCAATTTACTGAATACCTACTGTGTACTCTACCCTAAAGAATCCTCGTCCCTCAGGGCGCCTGGGTGGCAAGTGACCAACTCTTGATTTTGGCTCAGGTCATGATCTCACGGTTCATGAATTTGAGCCCGAGGTCACTGTCACTGACAGTGCAGAGCCTACTTGGAATTCTCCCTCTCTTCCTCTCTCTCTCTGCCCCTCCCATGGACTCTCTCTCTCTCTCTAAGTAAAATAAATTTTTAAAAAATCTAAAAAAAAAAAAGAATCTTGGTCCCTGAAGACTGAACCTGGGAGAGTTTGTAATACCAGACCCGCTGAACACAGTGGCCATGGCTTTGCCTTCTAACTTAGCTCACAAATCCTTTGGATCCTCCTCAGGGCCCCACCACCCTGACAAAGCTACCAGAGCCACTGGGGTCATAGCTTGAAGATTCAGATCTTCAAAATCTGCCTTATGTCGGGAGGACACAAGCCTAGGATGCCTGTGGGCCCTGATTACATTTTACAGTATGTGCTTCAGCTACAGAAAAGAAAAAAAAATCATAGGAGAGAGGGTCTGACTTCCTCACCACTGCAAATTCCCTGGAGGAGACAGGGTGACATGACAAACATGAGATGCCAGCCTTCAGATATTCTGCATATGAGGACATCACGGCAATAATCCCATGAAAGCAGCCCTAAAGACTGGAAGAACAAATCTTAGTTTTTCTCCAGATACCCTGCCAAGCCTGAAATCTAAATTGGGTCTAATGTAAAATGCTAAGACCTCCAGACACCATGCACAGATTCTACAAACAGATGCTGCCAGAAACAACTTTTCTTCTTATCCTTGGTGACATTTTAACAGCAGTGACAACCCCTCTTACTTTAGCCCCAAAGCCAGGGCACCATGTGGGGTGGAAGGAAAGGAATAGCTTCTTGTGCTGTTCCACTGCCCCAGGGTAGGCTGGCTCACAGCTGAGGGCTGTGGTACTCACAAAAGTCAGGGTGACCAGGGATCCGAAGAAGCAGGTAATGACAACACCAAGCACAAACCACTCTCGGCGCTCGGACCAGATGTGCGGAAACTCGTCTATCACAGCTGTGATCACCCCCTCCAAGCCTGCAAACTGAAAGGGACACACAAGCAGTCACAGGGGAAGCTCAGGACAAGTCTGGCACCTTCGAGGACAAGTCTGGCACCTTCGAGGACAGTGAACAGGAGGGAGTGACTGTCAAGCTGGTCATGACCAGTTCCCCACCATACACCAGATCTCACTGGAAATATATTACCCTGTTTCACAATTTCATTTAGAACCCAACCCTAATGACATCAAGGAAAGAAAATATAGGGCCTGGACAGGACTTCTTTATGTGACATCTCTTGGGTGAGACGCTGGTTGCACCAGAAAGGCCAACTCAAAGCTGAGACTCATTCCACCCTAATAAGTACAAGGTGCTGAGCCGAATGTAGGGCAGCAGGGCACTGAGACAAAAGAGTGACCTTGCTCTCACCTTAAATACTGCCATCTGGTCAAGGGACGGTACCCAGTAATAACAGGTCACATATGCTGAGCCCTGGCCTGTGCAGACACCTTACCCTCATTAGCCCATTATGACCCTCTAACACACTTAGAGGGCCGTGAGCACCAGCAGTGAGGACTGAACAGGGGCTAAGAAAGCACCGGGAGGGAGTAGCCAAGACCGCCTGGGGTGGCCAGGATGGGAGGGGTGGGGGATAGGTGCAGCACCCCCTCCCTCCTGCTCCCCTTCCCCCCTCCCCTTCCTCC